GTGGATCAGATAGATGGGCATAGATGTTGATTGATTTGACTACATTGTCTAGTGACGAAATCGCAACTTTTATGTTATTACACCTTATCAGATATTTCTACTAATTTTTTATGCTCTTCATCGACCTGCTGCCATGTAACGTTTAAATATAAATTTTTATCTGGGGAGTGTGGATGGCCTCCTATGGTTAGTTTAGAGAAATTGGAAAATATTTGATGTAGTAAGCGGGACGTGTCTTGGAGTTCCGCAAAGATCTGGGGATCTTTTTCAAAACGATTTAATGCTGATATCGCAGCTTGGGCCAGCATGGGAGGTAAGGACGCTGAGAAGCAATAAGCTACGCCAGATAAACGTTGATGCTCGACAATAAAATGAGAACCCACGCAAAAACCGCCGATAGAACCCATTGCCATTAAATCAACTTCAAAAAGCTATAAATAATATTCGTAAATGCCAATGTTACTTTTAAAGGCAAAAATTTACATCAACATTGAAGTGTTCAGCAATTCCGCGGCCAGTTGTGCCGAGAACCCCAAAAGAAATGCTTTCGTCCAAGAACAAACGTAACTTATATTTGGCTCTCAGCTTCACCAGTTCACGTAAAGGACATAATTGTTCACTGTTCATATATATTCCCTCGGCAACCAAGAAACGGCGCGTTTTAGCCGCTTTGTTGGGATTCTAAGAACAAAAATTTATTTCAAAAAGAAAAAGTTACTTTTGTATTGTAGCTGAGTTCAGAATAGCAATGAAGGACAAATAAGAAAATTATATTCGGCCGCGACCGAATCTTTTACACTCATCACCGTTATCCTAAAAAAGAAAAAAAGAGCGAAGGAAAACACTAAACTTCCTTACTAATAATTGCTTGGGCCCGGTTGAGGTTTTCCATTTTTCTAAAATAAAAGTGGAGACTTAGTCATGTATCTGTACTAGTTTATGGGCAAAAATCCGCCTTCTTCTTCTTTTCTTTTACTTATTTTTCATATCGACGGAAGAAAATGTTTAAGCGGTTTTTAGGGAACCCCCTTAGCTTGTCCTATTCTACTCGCATAGTTTTTTTATTTAAATTGATTAAGCGGCTAAGAAATATATCTCACTTTGTGCAGGCCGCCATATTTATTGCAAAGGCAACAAATATTAAAACAGATAATATATCTTCATGTGAGAAAAGTAGAGAAAATTTTTTTGACTGCTGTCTGGTTTATTTTATGTGTGGTGCCCACAAGACGTCAAAAAAGTGAAAAAATAAAAATTTGATCACTTGTAACCCCATTTTTGTACCTGATCCTCTACAAAGAAAATTTCAGCTTCCTACCTTTCATAATTTATGACTAATGAGCGAAAACCCTCTCTAAAGGACTCTAAAGGTTCCTTCTGGGAGTTGCAAACGTTCTGGTAAAGCGAATATACCATTCATCAAAATGAGTATTTTACTATTTTTCTTTCCGTTTTAAGGAGAGCTGGGAATAATCATTTATCTCCCCTTGTACGTCTCCTGAATAGTTTTATACAATTTTTATA